AAATACTTTTTCTAGGTGATCGAGGTATTTTAGATAAGTATTAGAGAATACATTTATGTCATCTAAATATACTGCCATGAATTTATCAATATACTCATATAAAATATTGTTCATTGCTTTTTGAAATGTAGCTAGCGTATTATATAGCCTGAAAGGCATGACGTTAAAAGCATATACACCCTGTTTTGTTATAAATGTGGTTTTTTCTTGGTCTTCTATTTTCATTGGTAATTGCCAATACCTACTGGCTAAATCGAGGCTAGAAAACCATTTGGCCTTTCCAAAAGTTCTAGCAAATCATCAATGCAGGGTAAAAGTATGCATCTTTTTTAGTAACAGCATTTAATTTTCTATAATTAACGCATAGCCTTAATTTTCTATTTTTTTTAGGAACTATAACCATGGGGGAAGTCCAGAGGCTTTTGACTTCATAAATTAATCTATTTTTTAATAAATTTTTTATTTCTTTCTCTAGGAAGTCTTGCTCGTTAGAGAAGATTCTTTAAGCAGACTGCTTAATAAGTTTTGCACTACTAGTATTAATTTTGTACTGCACTTCTATGGTTTGGCCCAGTTGATTTAACTCTGTTGCGAACAAATTGCTAACTGTCTTAAGAGATAAGTGGCTTTTTCTTGTTGCTCTTTATCTAAAGTTTTGACTCACACTAATTCTTTAATGCAATTTTCAGGGGTAGCGTCAGGGCCTTCATCTTTTCTGGGGTAAGTATTTCTTCGATTGACATTATATATATAGCCAGGCTATATTCGTTCTCCTAGAGGTTAATATATAGTTTTTCATCATCATTAGATCTATTAGTGCAGTAACTTTTCACTTCTTCCATCTCTTCTTTCTCATAATTATTGAAGAATCGTCTTCTTTATTACTGATTTCAGGGGGCATTTCAGGCTGGTCTTCCTTTGCTTGATATATTGGCACATCTATACATTTACCCAGGTACTAAAGAACCAACTTTTTTTCATCGAAATAGAGTTGGGCGTGTACTTTTTGGAACCAATCCATCCCCAACAGCATCATTTCTTCATTATTTTCGATAATTTGAAAATTGGTAGGTATCATTACATCCCCAAAACATAGTTTTAGGTTTGGCAGCTTTCCCAACACTTTTTCTCTTATGCTGTTAGCAGTAATTACCACCGTGTTTAAGGGTTCTTTGATAGTGAGACCTAGCTTATTAACCAATTTATTTGATAAGATATTAACAGCAGCCCCAGAATCTAATACTGCCAAAATAGAGTTGTTTTGAACCCTAACATAACACTTTGCTACGGTGGGTCTATAGTTGACTTGATTTTTAGCAACTCAGAATTCTTTTACTACTGTAATTAAGGGTCGTTTTAATGCTTCAACAAGATTACACCTTTGTTTAGGGATCTAAAGCATTTGAGCGTAAGTTGCGTTGGCTTTTTGATTGAGCAAATTATCGGCAATATTATATGAAACAGCTAGATTGACAATAGAAAGCTCTCATCTTTGTCTTGGTAGGTTGGTTATGATAGGTTGTGGTATAATGTTTGCCTGCTGTTGTTCTGGAATAACTTCCTCCATTGGAGTGGGCTGGGTTGGTTGCTAAGTCATTTGGTTTGGTTCAGAGGTGACTCTTTTTCTCAATCTTTTGTTCTAATTAGGTTTATTTTCAGGTCTTTCTCAATGTTTAATAATATACAACCCCTCTTCCGTCTCTTGTGTGTAAATATCACATAGGTTAACATTTCTTGGCTGTGATATGTTACTATTTGAATTCATAGAGAGTCTTCCAGGGGTTTGGCTACGTTCAGTAAGGCAATTCCTAGCAATGTAGTCTCTTTCTCTACAGTTGTAATACTCAATACTGCTGTTTGGGGTCTGCTGGGGTTGGGATGGCCTATTTTGTTTGGGACAGAAGTTAACGTCAACCCTAGCTATTAATGTGGTGGTCAATTTTTCATAATTTGTAGCCATTTGATGTATTTTATATGTCAATGCTTCGATAAGTTGGTTAGTAGAGTCCTCTTCTTTTCTTTTCTTATAGTATTTACCAGCTTCTATTTCTAGTGTTCTTGATAGCATCATCAAGAGTTTTTGGTTTGGTGATAGATATGAAGACCGTGATTTTATGCTTTAAACCACTGATAAATATTCTGACCACATAGGTAGGTGGTAATTTATTTTCTATGTCGACTCTTTTTTGGAACCTTTTAAATTTGTACGCATAAAGATCGACTTTTTCATTTTCCTGCTGAGTTAATAAATTTAGATCTATTTGCTACCTATGTCACCTTTCTGGTATTGCAAAATATTTAACAAATCCAGGTGCAAAGCTGGCTCTGGGTTGGTTCTGATTATCCCAATATTGGAGGTTATCTTTATAATTGCTGTACCAATTTGCTACAATTCCGAAAAGATATCCTGAAGGGATGGCAATTCTTCTAGGCTTGGGCCAATTATTTGCGTTAGCAGCTCTTTCAAATGCTTCGATCCTCTCTACAGGATCTTTGTCTTTATTCTTATGAAATATTTTAACTTGGACCCAATTGGTCTAACAGCCCCAATGTTGATTTTTAAAACCATCTTCTTGTACTACTTCTGTGGGGCATCTCTAAATGCTTTGGTGATATCTCTTAAGATAAACTAGATGCTCTCCTGGTGATTTAGGGGCGAATAGACACTAGTGGGGCTCTGGTTTCTAAAGTTGAGAAGGTTTTGAAAGATTTCTGATGAATCACTGGGGTGTTTGGAGGTTTTTCAAGGATGGGTGCCGAT